TATATATATATATATATATATATATATATATATATATTCTTTCTTTCAGCACACCCAGTTCTTTTCGACAGCGACAGAGCGTTTCGTGATACCATTGATTTGGCATCACCATACCTCAGAAATTGTCGATTTCCACGTCACATGATCGAGTACCTGCGGTTGACCAATAAGCTGCCGCGAGAATGTAGCCTGGGTGCGCAGGTGAGACTGGATACAACGAAATGTTACACCAAGTGTTGAAAAAAACACGACAACTATATATTTATATTAAATATTTATTTAAATTTATATAGTGTAGATATAGATACAACCTAATAAGAGAGTCCAAAAGGAGTATAACTGAAATTTCGAGGTATATAAGTGGTATATATTGGTTACGCAATTAACCAAAACGGTAGAAATGTCATATATAATTATTAGAGGTGTGGTTTATTTAATATGTATTCCTCTTGTTATGTAAACTGTTATCTCGATTATATCACTTCTCGTCGGGAGATGGGTTACACCTATCCAACTTTTGCATACCACTGTATAATTCTTATTCCGTTTCATCACAGGTATCGTCTGCTCTCCAGTTGGACCGCCTGCGTCCCGTGAGTGAACAGTTCATTTCGCGATTTAGAGTGAATTCCACAAGACAGTCGTTTGAAATCATCGACATATGCGTTGGTGTGTTGTTATCTCTAGTTGATAGTTGTATACACAGGTTTGGAGAACACAGCGTATTATATGAAGGAGGTGAAAAAGCTGTTTGAAACGTACACGGAACCGTGACTAGCATATTTCGCTGTGTATATCCAAGGACAAAAAATTACGACTCTTCTATTTTTGCATTCTTGCCCGCTAGAGTATTTTCCGCTACACTTCAAACAAACGACGAAGACTATATTTTAGAGATATAATTTGCGTGTTCATGAGTCATCGTGAGAAAATAGCAAATCAGCGATTGGCTTAGACCAAGGGCACACAGTGTCTGCTTCTACGAGTAAATTGATTGGTTCCCTATATTAAAAGAAAGACATTCTGATTGATACATTCACAATCTTCTAAATACTGCAGTTTTACCACATCTTTTTTGTGGTAACACGTGTTTCATGACGACAAAATATCTGAATTTACAAGGCATTCTATTGGGATCATCGTGTGAAATACATTTTGATATTAATTGTATATAGACATTATAGCATGATATATGTACGATTGCGGCGACATTATTAATCTTCTCGAAGCAAGAAAATAATTTACAACATGTTTCTTGAATATCTATTTTGTACAAAGTCTAAAGGTTCTAAAGTGCGAGCAAGGACAACACTTAATAGACCATTTTCCGTTCACTGCGAGAATCACGCGTTATGCGTGAAATCGAACGTAAAAAAACAGGAC